TTTCCTGAAATGCATAAAAGCATCCATTCATGGAACTTCTCTAAAATTAGTCCATCAAAAAAAATGCAGAAATTTTTTTTTTTTCGGAAACCACAGTAGTTTTTGGCTGAAACTCGAAAATGTCCCGAGGTATGGTTGCTATTTATGAAATGCCCGAATAAAATATGAGCATCGTGGTCTTCTGACAAAATGGGGGGGCGGAGAAATTTTTTTCAAAATGCACGAAACTTTGTTTCACCCTGTATCACGGGTCCTGATCAATTTAGAAGAACCTGTAAGGAACGGTTCGAAAAACGATGAAAAAGGCATTCAGAATCTGGGCGGCAATTCAAAATTCGTTCAATATATTAGAAATTACGAGAAGTCAAATCTGATGCCAAATTTCACTATTAACTATTGTTCCTATACTTTTTCCTTTACTTCCGCAAGTGCCAGCTTACTCATAATATTTTTTGCGAAATATTGTCTACATATACAGAAGTGGTCGTATAGTAAATCAATGGTGGTGTAGAAAAACATTTTGATGATTGAGTCTGAATATTTAGTAGATAAATTTAGCAATACCAATAAAACACAAATAATATCTATGTAGTTCCATTTGCAACTGTCTATTCGACAGTTTTATTTTAACTGTCACTGATTGAATGCATGCTTCGATCTCTTATTTTCACCGCTATGTATTCCTAACTATATGTTGCCCTCTCCCCTTCTAAGATAGGTATGCCATGAACTATTTCTGATAGCCCAGACCCACTAAACTTCCCCCAATTTCGAAGGGAAGTCTACATCTCTTGTTATAACATTCCATCTCTGTGACTCAGCTTCAGAAGGGTCTAGAAACAAGAGTATGTTTTCCCCGACTTTCGTTTGTTTTATCGATTTCGGCTTCTGAGATGGAAACGAGAGTCTTCGTGCGAGGGTTATACTCTGCTCTCCAATTCATTTTGACATGGGGTGGAAACTACCCTAAAAAATGCAATCGTGTAAGTTTATTTCATGGCTATCTATACTCTATTTGTTTTTTGAAGAACCAATCGGTATATCTGCATGGATTGATCACATTCTGTTATAGTTTTATAGATCAAATTATGATAATTAAGGATTGAATGAAGTTACATTTCATTCAGTATATTGAAAACTAGGACTCTATTTACTGGGATATATATGACATAAAAATGAGAGTAGAGCAGTATTATCATCGCTATCAATAGTAAAGATATCAATTGTAAACCAAAAAATCGATAGAACGTCTCTCTTGTAAATGAACATCACACAGTATTTTGACCAAAAGGAATATCCATCGTTCAGAGCAGTCATTCGATCATTTGGTTCTGAATAATTGATATACTTGCACGAAGTTGGTATATTTTCAATCAGTTTTTTTTATGCATATATACAGAGTGGGCCTTTGAAAACGAAACAGAGGCTCTGTAGGTCGCCAAAACCGGATTATCAAAAAAAACTGAAACAGGTCAACTACATTTTCGAGGGGGACATCTCTCTAGAATATTTTCAGCCCTGCGGCGTTGCCGCTTCTAAAGAAAAGAAGCAACAACTTTGTTATTTCAAATGGAACACCTTGTATTCTATTGCATTTTTAGATTCTCCCCGAAGAGCTGATTTCATCAATGCATCACACTTAGGGTCTAGCTGTAATGGTTTCAGGGATATAAAGTGTTCAAAATCGAGATTTTTCAACTTTAACATTTTTTTGTGTCGAAACTATTCATTATTGGTCAAAACGGCTCTCATGTCCCGATCTCAACTTGTGATTTACTATCTACTGACATTTATTTGAAACAAATACAGGGTGGTTCAAGATTCAGAATTCTGATCACCCTGTATCTGTTCCAGTTAAATGTCAGTAGATAGTAAATCACAAGTTGAGATAGGGACATGAGAGCCGTTTCGACCAATAATGAATAGTTTCGACACAAAAAAATGTCAAAGTTGAAAAATCTCGATTTTCAACACTTTATATCCCTGAAACCATTACAGCTAGACCCCAAGTGTGATGCATTGATGAAATAAGCTCTTCGGGGAGAATCTAAAAATGCAATGAAATACAAGGTGTTCCATTTGAAATAACAAAGTTGTTGCTTCTTTTCGTTAGCAGCGGCAACGCCGCAGGGCTGAAAATATTGTAGGACGATGTCCCCCTCGAAAACGTAGTTGACGTGTTTCAGATTCTTTTCATAATCCGGTTTTGGCGACCTACAGAGCCTCTGTTTCGTTTTCAAAGGCCCACTCTGTATTTTTATTTCATTCACAATTCGTTCTAGTATAGTTTATATCAGAACAGATATTTCCAACTAGGAAAAAGCCAAATGCTCAAAGTGGAATGTAATGGTCACAAAGTGAAAGAAACTCAGAGTTATCATCACAATAGTTCATAGAATGAACGGAATTAGTATATAACATTGTCTAACATTTTCGTTCATCGTTTCATATTGCTTGATTCATCTAGAGTGAGTCGATAAATAGTGACGACAATAGGCCTCCCAAAGGATGCAATTTCCGGAATGTTATTCGTGGTCAAGTCACTGAATATAAAAAATCTGAAAGGTATCTCCCATGCAGTAATGCATTTGCGCCTTCGAAGTGCCCACCTGATGTAAGGTTTATTTATTCGACATTTCCATTTCATCATCAGAATTCCAAATAATCTGAGACTTACGAGTCCGATGCTAATGTTCCAAATTTCAGGAATATATGAGAAGGATCGCTCAAAAAAGGAAGTTCTATGAAGGGGTATAGAAAGATTACCTAGCTGACGGAGGTCTCTTGAGTGAGCTACATTTTCAACCACCCCATTCTATTTATGAACGGTGTCACATGATCTTTATTCGCGAGATTCACGAAGTGGGCGGCATCTAGGTTACATGATACGAACTTCAAACTGGGGGAAAACAAACTGTTGTCTATGTCTATGGACAAAGTGTATAGACTACATTGCATTCAGCTTGCTGTAGCTGTAGTCAAACTTGTCAATGACATAAAGTGTTGGCACTGTTGGTAGCGATGATGGTTGAGTTGGTTAATTTTTCTACACTATTACATTTTTATTAGCTTAGTGAACAGTGAACAGGTGAAAAATTGGAGATAGTTCAAACAATTCAAACTAATTATGAGGAGCCAATCAATGGGCGTGTACACCTTAGTAGAACTATTAACTCAAACCATGTTTATAATGATCCTTTTATACATAAATAATGATTGCCGACATAATTCGATCGAAAAATCAACTGGAATGTTTTCTTTTTGGACATAAATAATAGTACCCTCTGAAAACGGACCCTCTTATGACGTAGAAACCTCATCTCGACATAGTTAAAAGAAAATACCAAACGCCCGACGGAGACTGAGGCAACTGATATATTAATTCTTTCAACTGTGATCTCGCGCTAATCCACTCTGTCAGAAATCATGTATCATTCATCTTTGTCTGGAAAAGTCTTGTTTCAGTATTAGGGTTTTGACGTCACATCATCGCCTCGTTTTCAGAGGTCCGAAAAATCGGGGATTTCAATAATTTTTTATAAAACGTAGGGAGCTCGCAGCAAGAAACGGTTTGCGGTGGTGAGCTAGTTTGGGTGAGTTCTATCGAATAATGAAATAAAATTTTTTTGTGATATGAGCCCATTGACACATAAAAGAACAGCTACAACATGTTTACAATACCCAGATTGTCCTGCTTTGCATGAACAAATACAAATCCATCGTTCTACAGGATTCATCTGGACCCCAACTTAGTTTTACTTCATGTGTGGAAGATTTCATCGCCGAAGTTTGTAGACAAAGTGCAAAAATGTGCCTTTTGTTGAAGTCTTCTGCCCACGGAAAACTGCTTCTCCTTTCACTACAGGCATAGATTAACGACTCCTTAATCTATGCGACTGGTCGGCTTTTTCCATCTGAATAGAGCAAAATATCTGCCAAAAGAACATCTACAACTGGCATTATTAGCGTTTTCGATCGAATATTGACAATTAATGTCAAGAAATTTAAAAATATCACTCTTATCAGTACACAGTACACAAGCTAATGGCACTAATGGGATTGAGTGAGGATTGAGTGTGTTTTCCCCCAGTTTTGACGTGGCTTTGACCATAATAGTTATTTATGTATCAAGGGCGTAAAGTAGGCGTTTATGGCCTGTGGCGTGAATAATGGCCCGATGGCGCTAGCCGAGGGCCATTACACGCTGAAGGCCATAAACGCATTTCACGCACGAGATACATACAAAATTTTATGCACTAGTGGTTTATTTTCTGACTCATAAGTAATGACTATAGATTTCGATAAACTATTATTCCCCAGAATTTAATTTGTTACGTATTAATTCAGTAATCAAGAGAAGCGTAATGTTCATGGATGATTTACATATGGAAATTATCGTACGAATATTGCAATTATCGTAATAGTAAAAATCTTTCAGCTCTAGAAGAGATTCATTCTTCAGAATTTTACAATATGCATACCCAGTATATAAACCTAACTTATTTTGACGTTGTCAATCAATCTGATGGTTGTTGTCTATAGCAACACATCCAATAAACGAGCTGAATTGTCATTCTTTGACTGAAAAGTAAAATTAGTGATAATAATAATAGCGAGACTATGGAATCGGATAAAGAAGAAGTTCATGATATACCGCTGGATATATTAGAATCTAGGAATATGATCATAGGTTTTTCATGAATTGATATGCGGATATAAGGTGACTGAGAACAGCGGGCGGTAAAGTGCACTTTACGGCCCGTGGGCCATAATGAGCCCGCGGGCGGTAAAGTGCGACTTAACGCCCGCAAAACCGGGCGGTAAAGTGCACTTTACGGCCCGCTAGTGCATAAATGAATCTTACACACGCATTTTGGACTTTTTGAATTCTAGCCGATTGTATCGTATTTCTTTGTTTATACGTATATCACCCTGTACAAGGTTGCAGTATGTCAGTAATCGAAATCCAACGAAACCCTCTGGCCTCCCCCCTAGTGCAGCGGCCGCCGACTCGTCGGTGAAAGGGCGGGGGACGGCCGTTGCCATGCCAACCCCCCAGAGTCGCGGCATCCAGACGGCCGTGGCCGAGCATGCACCGGCCGTCGACGTCGTTCGGGGTGCGTCGGCCCAAGGGGGGCAACGACCCAGACAGGTGCGAGGGTGGAAAGTGCTGGGGGGGGGGGTCGTAGGGGGAGCCTAAGGGGGGGACGCGGACATGTAGCTACAGGGCGGATTTTGTGTTTCGATCTGTATTTATAGATGCAAAGTGTACATGATAAGAAGGTCAATCCGTTGACCGTCGTATCACGGAAAAAACTATTGTTTGATTAACAAAAAGTATGCAAATTCAACAAAATCTGAGTGTCAATATACACGACAAAATATCTTGTTACTGCAATTTTTTTTGTCAGTTTTCAACTCATTTGTTGTAATTAATCATTGATTCAAATCAACGGCAAGATTTTTTCGAATGTTCAAAGACTATTTCCTTCCTATAATATACATGGTGTTCTTTAATGACATGCTGATATACAAGGGGGCGATTTTTGGACCCATTTCAAGAATAAAACTTCATATGAACGTATGTCGCAAACGTCCTAACTTTTGAGATACAAGGTATCGAAGTTGAACATATAAGTACATAGATTCTTTTTTGTCCACCCTGTAGAGCTTTTACTGATGGCAAAATTCATTCTGCTATGTGACTGAAACGGTGCAAAAATTTCAAAATGTTACATACTGTGGTGTTCCAGTCATAGCTGTCCTGAATGGAGTACTCAAGCTTAGCATTTACATCAAAATTTGAAGTTTGATCTCGTTTTTTCGTTTTTTCTCGAAAACGAAGCGTCCTGTCGGGTATCAACAGGAGGATATTTTTTGTACAAAATTGAATGACTTTTTATAGCATTTTATTGAATTTGGAAATATTCCTTCGTTGCTCACTTTCAAGTATAATATAATCAATCATATCCCCCTAACGGCGCCACTGGTAGAGAAGAGGAAAATTTGTATACATCAAAAACTGCACTTTGATGCATAGAAGGTATATGTACCAGATTTCATAAATATGACTACAATATTATTTCAGTTATTATCAAAAAACCTTTTTTTTTAAACTTCATCACACTGTATCTCAAAAGTTAAGACTTCTAGGACATACGTAAGTGGAAAGTTTGTTTTTTGAAATGCGTTGAAAAATCACCCTCTTGAATATTAGCATATCTTTAAGGAACACCCTGTATACAATATCTGCTCTGATGAACACATTTTGTTGATTGAAATGATCATGTAATTTCATTCAAGTGAAAAAAATTTCAGTTTTTCAGAAAGTGAATATGTTGAAATAACAATATATAGGTATTCTGAATATAACGAAATATATTTTCCAACTAATGACAAAATTTATTCGATTAACAAAATTATACTAAGAATTGAAAAACAATTCTGCTAAATAATATAAAAAAAAATTTCCAATAGCTGAATTATTTCAAAAAATCTGAGAAATTAGAGATTGATCTAGCTTGCAAGCATCATTAGAAGTTCTAGGACAACTGGTAATATAATATATAAACGGATATTTTAGTTAGGTGCATATTTGTACAGGAAAACCATCTAGTGACAAAAATGCAACTAGATAATCAATCAACAAAATACTTGTTTGATGTTATATATGTATTATGTATCTGTTGGTCCTGTTCAACAAAATACTCTGTTTGAAATAACAACATATTTTTTGATAATGATGTTGAATCATCAAGATATAATATTGCCAAAATCAATTCAATTTTGTTGAATATATAGAAGAAAAGCATATGAATGTCAACCTCAAATATAGTTGAATGGACTGAATAGAGTTCTTTGTTCAAATGAACAAATATTCCAATCTAAATATTTTGTCTGTTCTAATAAGTCGCTTATGTATAATAAATATATATTTGGTTGATTTCGCAAAAATGTTTCCAATTTGAAAAAAAAACATGATAAAAAAATATTTTGTTGGTGCAACAATTCCTTTTTTTGTGATATGGGTACTGAAATAATAGGACTTCACGTATAACAAGCCTGGTAAATACTGTTTTTCTACAAACGTCAGTGAAAGTATTATTTTTGACGCATGCTGTCAGTGTCTAAAATGTCATTTTATGACACTGGTGTTAAAAGTGAATTACTTTTAGCACTAGTGCTGAAAGTGATTTATGTTTGAGAGAAAATATAGAAGGAAAACTCGTACTGCCGCTTTGACTAACTAGGCAATAACTCAAAAGCAGCTTTACTGGCAGCATCTTCAATTTCCGGCGGTAGAAATTCATTTTCTTGATCACTCTCCATAGAGGAACGAAGAACCGAGAAAGAATAATTTGTGATTCATTGACGTTAGTTGTCAACAAAGACAGATCAACAAATTTGGTGTTTGTGTAGGTACCTTGGCAACTTGTTTCATGAATAGATTAGATAAAATTGGATTCAAAACTGACAATAATTTTATCAATTAATCAATGTGAAATAGGTATGCGTTAATTTGAACTTTTATTGGTGTTTGTAGAAAAAATAGTATATGATATACCTGCTAAGTGATTTTATTTTGTTCGAAGGGATGGAACACTCTGCCTTCGGCGTCGTGTCCCAAACTTCCCTTCTCACAAAATAAAACACCACTTTTAGCACTTACATCATAAATAACTATTCTTTGGACTAAGTATAGTAGACAAAATTCTAGGCCGAGCCGTAGGTATTGCGTATATACACTATTTTTTCGGTAACTATATAGAATAACAAATCAATGAGACACGTTTTCATATTATATTTCTCTATATAGAATAAAATTTCGAATATTTCAAATCTTATATACTGAAATTTGAACAGAATACCTATACCTACTAACAGCTACATTGAAAATTTCGTATGTACCTTTCCAAACTCATACTAAGTATATCGCGCTGCTACCGATAGTTTATTGCGATGAATGCAACCAAAATGTCAGCAGTTATTTTGCTGCTATGTTCTATGTTAATGATCATCTGCATTTATCAAAACCATATCTACCAAGATTTTCATAGATGCAGTGACCACAACTATGTTATTTTCCGTACTATGTGCAAACCGGATTTTTTCAACGATTACGAAGACATTGCAAAACAAAACGTTTAAATTATAAATATTTTTTTATTGTGATATTCTACGAGAGCGTCAAGGGGTGACACAATTATGATAAATTCATTTTTTCAAATAAATCCAATATATTGGAAAAAATCCAATATATAGGAAAAAAAATTCAACATATTGGAATAAAAATCCAATATATTGGATTCATTTTCCAATATATTGGATTTTATTTCAATAGGTATATTGAAATTTTTGTTGGGAAAAAATTCAATATATTGGATTTATTTTCCAATATACCTATTGGATTTTTTTTTCAATGAATTGAATTTTTTTCCCAATATATTGGATTTGTTTTCCAACATATTGAATGTTTTCCAATATATTGGATTTTTCATGTCACGGTTGGATAAGTTCTGACGCATGCGCATAATGTTTGTTCCACGAATCGACTGCACATGATTGTGTCCGAGATTGTGTCCCACATTTCAAAATATAGACGAGACGATAATTTTCCTGCTGTTCAACTTATTCGGCTCGTCAGGAATTGTATAGTAGCCCATCCCTTACTCTCACCCCCTTTCTGCGAGTGCAAAGCAAAAATCAATATTCACCAAACGTCATTTGAAATATTTTATTCATGTGACATACCTATAAGTAAATGTAAGTTCTGTAAAATCACATAGTTACGCAAAAATTACGCGTTGCAGAAATAGCTACTATTGTAGTATTGCGTATTGCTTGTTCGAAATAATATCAGCCTCGCTTCGATAGTTTGCCAACTCACAGACACTTTGACTCTCTATAACAATATATTTCATCCTTTAAAAAAAATTGTTCTAAAATTGTTTTATCCGTCATTCGGTTGCCCCCTTACGACAACCCTCAGAAGTCTTCGAGAGTCTTGTGCGAGCAAGGAATGACGGGGGCCTTACCTTTTAACGTGTGATCCCAAAGTCCCAAAGACTTTCTTGGGCCATCAGAAAAATTTCTGCAGTCGACGGGACAATTGGACACTGTCCGCACGGCTACCTGGCCTTTTCAATTTCATGTATTCAATTCTACATCTGGATTTCTGAACTTAAAATAACCCTTCAGGTACTATTTATAATTCCATATTACATGGTCTCTTGGGGCATCTTATACGCATCTCTATTGTTCAATTCAATGTATTATATTGTTATGATGATTTTCCAATATATTGGAAAATAATGAGGAAAATAAATCCAATATATTGAATATTTTTTTCAATATATTGAATTTTTTATTTACATATTGGTTTTTATTTTCAATATATTGGATTTTTTCAATATATTGGATTCTTTTTTCAATATATTAGTAATATTTTCAATATATTGAATTTTTTTTACAATATATTGAATTTTTTTTTTCAATTTATTGGATTTTCTTTTGAATATATTGGATTTATTTAAAAAATATATTATAATTGTGTGACCCCTAGACGCTTTCGTAATTTTCCCTTCCATCTCTTATATATTCACAATTATTGGCTACTCATAAACGTTGTTTCATTACTTCATTATTGGATAAGTAAGTTCTTTGACCATATCTCGTTTAAAAAAATCCCATGAAGCCCGGTATTGGTAAATTTGTAATAATGAGCTTTAATTGAATATGAAATAATAGAATGCTATGTGAATCAACTTCATGATAATTTATAACAAAAAAATAATAATAGAATCATATTTGGACGGAATGGGAATGCTCCATTTGTATGAATACGTACATACCTAGATATTATTATACATACACCCCTATACAAGATATACAACCCGAAATAACCAAATAACCATACATACCCTATGCAAGATCTATAACCCTTTCTTTCGAGTTAAATTTCATTCTGGGTATTCCAATTCGTATACAGCACTAGGATATTATCTCCGCCCTGTATCACCCCGTCAGGTCGAACTGATCGAACAGAGTAAAGAGATGAGGAAGGGAGTATTGCACCCCTTTCAGAGATTAACATCTCTTCAAGAGAGGAATACATTCATTCCTATGGGATCTAATTTCAAATAACATCACAGC